TGGTAAAGTTGCGTCATATTGTGATATAATAAGTATATATTAAATCTTGTCCGTCTAATCACAATAATTCTTATTAAATATTAAAATATTACAATAATTAACATTTAAAATATTTAAAATATTAAATTTCTCATTTAATATTTTAAATGTTAATTATTGTAATGTTTTAATATTTAATATCGTGAAACATGAAAAATGATGGTCTAATGTAAATCGAATATTTCGATAAAGAACATCATTTAATATTTTAAATATTTTAAATGTTAATTATTGTAATATTTTAATATTTAATAAGAATTATTGTGATTAGACGGACAAGATTTGATATATACTTAATATAAACATTGTCTTTGTTAGTTTACCATTTTCCCGCCAGTATATCTGTGATATCACATAACCTCTAAAATCTGCAGTTCGTTCGAGACGTACGGACCTTTACACTGGCATGGGATACAAAGACTTAGTTAACATGGATTATTTTGCAGGAGGGACTCCGTGTGTTGAGCCCAGAGGAACAGCTCAAATGGCTGAAAGCGAAGGAGGAAACCTGTTCCAGGAATGTCTCAAGAAATCCCTCCGCGTCCGCAGGTAAGTCCCTTCCGCGCAGGCGCAGTACTCACTTGAGTTTTGTAAATAGGCTACCACGTGACAGGTCAGTGAAGCTGTAATTTAATTACGTGTGTTTTACCCATTTCTAGTATGCTAACGTTTCTACCGTACAATTCTCGGACCTTAAGTCTCGTGAATTCCGATGTATAGGTGAAATATTTGCGCAGAAGGAGGTTATGTTTGATCTACAACTCACCTAAATGATATCATCAGAGATCTCCACGTTGTGATCTCTGTCTCCCCACTATCACCTCTAAAACCCTGAACATAACAAAAGTTTTGAGAATTAAAAAAAATGTTTTATATTTAAGTTTCTGCAAATATAAAATAAAACTGTATAATTCGTATTATAGAAACTTCTGTATTATATACGTTGCCTAAAGAATCTGAGGCGCGGTATTTTATAAAATTCCTAGGATTCTACCTGGGCAAAGTATAAAATAAGCTGTTAGTTTCATACATTGCCTAAAAGTTCTAGGCATTTTATAAAATGCCTGGGCATTCCATAGAATGTCTGAATTTCATATTTTGCCTAATGACTTTAGGCATTATGTACATTGCCGGATTTCATAGTTTGTCATGTTATAATTCGGTGGTCGCTTGTCAGTAAGTTGCTCACCGCTGTCAACAGCGCCACGAAGCTGAAGGTGGCCATTTTGAACACCTACACTAAATTCGTAAAATAAAAAAAGCATAAAGTGCCAATGTTGACATGTTTAATGGTTCAGTTTCTTTTAAAAAGTCTGTATTTCATTCCTTGAGTGTGTGTAAATATTTTTGGGACATACTGGATGTGTGTCTGTTCGCTCCTACAAAATCCATTCTCCCCTCCCCTCTCCCCTCCCCTCCCCTCTCCCCCCCTCT